TGGCAACTGAGATTTATTTTTTGTTTGCATAACCGAAGGCTGAAAATGCCAAGAATTTACAGGCAGCCTGGGGAGGCCAGGGCTGCTGGGAGCCCCTGTCAGCCTGGGAGGGTCTCGAGTGGGGCCAGGACCCCACACTAGGTTCCTGCTGAATGCCCTGCTGACCCTTGGCCTGTAGGCCAGGGCACTGGGCTGAGGGGGCCAGATAATCTATTTGCTGCCAGGAGCCTGCACATCAGTGGAACCCGACTCCTCCTTCTGTGGCTGTGGACAAGAGCAGAGGAACCTCACCCGAGCAGTTTGGCTGAGGGTGGGCACCAGCCTTGGGGGCCTAGGTCCAAGGTCTCCAGATTGGACGCCCAGAGAGAGAGGAGCAGGAGAGGTGGCTTTGGGGGACTTTGGGGGAGCATCTGAAGGAGACAGGAAGAGACAGAGGAGGAGAGAGAAGCATAAGATGACGGAGAGAGTAAGACTGAGAGAGAGACAGAGAGACACAGAGAGAGACAAAAACAGAGACAGAAAGAGACACAGATACAGACAGAGATAGAAACAAAGAGAAAAAGAGAAACAGACATAAGGAGAGACAGACAGACAGACAGAAAGATAAAAACAGGGAGAGGAGACAGAGCCTGGGGCAGTGGGCAGACCCCAGAACCCTAAAGCAGCGCTTACACAAAACAGGTAAGGAAGCACAGGGCCTGAGTTCAGTGGGTGGTGTCTACCCTGTGGCCCTAGAGACTCGGGACGGTATGCTGCTCTCAGGCAGTGGACAAAGGCTAGGGCCCAGCCCTGGGGTCCGCACTGAGTGTTCCTCCTTCACAGACAGAGAGATGTGGGGACCGGGAGAGGTCAAGGATGACACGCTATGGCCGAAAGACCTGAGACCAGTAAATACTGTCTGGGACGAGTAACTGGGAACTCCAGTAAGGAGAGGTAGATCTGTGGGATGGCGGCTGTGGCCAGGCCGGGTCTCAGGTGAGGAGTAGCCACCTCTGTTGTCCTGCTTTATAGCTGCTGTCCCAAGAGCTCCTGGGCACCCTGGGAGGTCTGTGGCTAACCACACGACTCAGCAGGAATCATTCACTGTCCATGCCTGCCCCTCATCCCTCCTGGCCACACAGTTCACCCAGGTGGAGGCATAGAGCAGCACTGAGCACTGATTACAGCCCACGATAGGCATCGTGGGTCACGAGCCACAGAGCGGAAGCTTTCTGCGAGGAGAGCGGAGGAGAGGCGAGGGAGGGGTGGGGTGAGTAGGGTAAAGAAAGACAAAGGAGGGGTGCAGGGAGGAAGAGCGAGAGAAGGAAGTTGAGGCTGGGGCTAACGTGAGTGTGAGTGGTAGGCCCCCAGAAGCTGCACAATGGGGACACGGTGACTTATAGGCTCCCTCTAGTATTGCCCTCCAGCACCCAGCGTCCAGTCAGGAGAAGACATGTGCAGCTGAAGGGAGAACCACTGTCCACCTCTGCCTCAGTTTCCCAACAGGTAAACTGAAGGAACAGGCAGGGAGCTAAAGACATGTAGGCAGGTGCTGGAGCTCACAACAGGGAGGGGCCCCCTGCAGCTTCAGGAGAAGGACCTCGAGGCGGAGAGCTTGGGCAGGCTTAGTTGTGCTGTTGTGGTGAAGACGTGATCAGGAAATGTTTTCAAACTCTTTTAAAAAAAGGTCAAAGAGGAGACTTTGAGTTTTGGTGGCTCTGAGGCATGCCAGGTAGAGACAGGAGCCTAAAAAGAGTCCCAGCTGTCGTCACAGAAGGCACAGCATCCCTGCCTGGGATGAGAAGCATGTTCAAGGGGTATGCGTGTGTATTGGACAATCTCTCTCTCTCTGTGTGTGTGTGTGTGTGTGTGTGTGTGTGTGTGTGTGTGTGTGTGTCTGTCTATTCAAAGGAGCCAGAGGCATCTCAATTGGGGGCAATGAAAGACTTAAACCTTCAGGACTCACACTCACGTCTGTTTGCAGAGGACCCTAGATCAAACAACCTGGACTCACAGAGAAGCCAGTGAGCGGAGAATGTCCTGGGCGTTGTCTGGCTAAATTTTACTAGAGGAGGGCAATGCTGTTACTTAGTGAGGCCTGGGGAGGCCAGGCCTCTTTTCTCAGTCATGAAGGGAAGGTCCAGTTGGAGCTTCAGGGTCAGAGTTCTCCCCTCTGGGCTCTGCTGCTACCCAAGGAGGTGACATTCAAGCCAAGTGACTCCAGGTATGTGTAGGTCCATGGTCTGATGTGTACTGGGCTTTACAGGTGCTGGGTGACCAGGCATGAATGCTGAGGGGTGCGAAAGGAAGTGCTCAACCCATGAGGCCCCTTACCCAGAAGATGGCAAGACTGCCCACCAGAGACTGGCCCAGGTTGGGAACCTGTTGAGAACACGGCAGGGGTGGGTGACATTCCTTGCCCCAAGGGATATCTCACTGCCCTTTGTCCCATGTGAATAAGAGGGACCATGACTGAGTTGAGAGTTGGGGTGACTCACGTATGGACCGTGCAGAGGGCCTCCAAACCCATCAACCCACCGGCGCTGCGCCTGGTGAGCTGCGCCGTGCTGGTGGGGTTCATGCCACGGGGACACAGCAAAGAGGGATGCCTGAGAGTCTCACAGTGCTCCCAGCGCCGCCTGACCTACTGTCAGAGGAGGAAACGGGCTTGTTCATCCACAACCACGTGACTAATCAGTACCTTCTGGCCCACCAATGTGAGGTCAGGCTGGAGGACTCTCCCAACATTCCAACGCCCAAGAAGGATCCCGTACCATAGAAAGAGTTGGGCCGAGTGACTGGTCTCAAAGATCATCAAGTCAAATTCTTCTACTGACTCAGCTGTTTCCCAGACACCAGGACTGGGGGATTCAAGGGACAAGAGGGTGGGGCTTGGGGTAGAGGGCTAGCAGGAAGTAAAGGCAGTGCCCAAAGGAGAGATAGCAAGTCCTGGGCAAGTGGGCACAGAGAAGCCAACAGCTGGTACCGGTGGGGCTGTGACGGATGGACTGGGTGCATGAAGAGTGCTTCCGGGCAGACCCAAGAGGATGTTGCTGGCTGCCAGCATTGTGCTGAAGTCTAGGAAGATGAGCTGAGTTGTGGTCATAGGATCTGGGACCTGAGAGGCAGAGTATGGGCCAGAGCTATTGCTGCTTCCAACGCCTCCATCTTCCTGACATGGGGGGATGCTTGGGCATGATTAAATGCCGAGGAGTAGACTGACAGAGAGGGGAAAGTCCCTAGGGACATGGGTGGGGGGGTGAGGAGGCTGAGGGGCCCTATCTGCTCTGAGCCTGAGGAAGATCTGGGAACCGTGAGGCATAGGACAATCCCCATATTTTCTACCGTTCATTATAGCCTGGGATACATCTGGTGAAAGGTGGATGGAGAGGGGAAGGGAAAGGTTAGAGGGGAAGGCTTGACTCAGACATCTCACAGGACTCGGGGACAGCTGCCCACAGAACCAGGCTCCATGTAGCCTGGAGCAGTCAGTGTGGGAAGCTGAGAAAGCCTTCCAGGGGCACGCGGACACAGGATGGGGGTGGCCTAGAAGTGCCGAGGGGCAGGAGGGAAGGAGCAGCAGCTGGGATGCATCAGGGACAGGAGGCTACATGTGTGGTGGGAGTGGGGGGTGTAAAAGCATGTGGGGACAGGGTTTCACTGCATGTAGTAGAGTCTGCTCACTACAGGGAGATCATCCAGGGGTGTGTTATATAAATATGGGCTCGTGTGTGTCAAGACCAACTGTGTGTGTTCTATGGGAGAGCAAACCTTTCCTACCAACTGAGTGTATGATTTAAGAAGTTCAGGGTCTGGCAAGATGGCTCAGTAGATAAAGGTACTTGCTGACATGTTTGATGACCCAAGTTTGAACTCTGGGACCCAAATGGGGGAAGGTGGAAACGCCCAGAAGCTATCCCTTGGCCTCCACACATGTGGCATGTGCATGCCAACACACATTGGATTGGTTCAGTCCCTTCCCAACATGGCTCTAGGTCTCCTTCTCTTTTCTTGGCAGGTGACACCTCCTTAGGGACTCTGGCTGGCCACATCCTGGACCCACAGGACAGGATCTGCCCTCATGCTCCTAGACCAGCTTGCGTTCTTCAACCCTGTACCCAGTGCATAAAGTAGGCATAAGCTGTGTCGAGAGGGTGGACAGAGACCCTTCTGGTCCTGGCACTGGGCCCAAACTGCAGTGGTGTACTTACCTTTTGGCCTTGGCCATCTGACTTCCAATCTATTAAGAAGCCTCAGAATAAATCAGAATCAGATAGCCACCCTGCAGGCCTCCAGACCCTCATGTATGGAGCTTGCAGTATCCATGGAGACCTCACACTTGGACGTTCTACCCCATATGCTTTCTACTTAAACCAAATCCACTGGTCTCAGCCTGTTCACAATGCTGTGGTAGCCAAATCACTGAGAAACCAAAGTCCCTAGGGCCTATGCGGCCTGCTCATCCCTCCGTGAATGCCTTGTGCCCGCCCCCAACTTATGTGCTCTTGTGCCCTCGCCTCTGTTAGGATGCCCTCCAGGTGCCCATTGCTCTCTTAACTTCCTCAGAGATTCTGCAAGGGTCTGACCTGGGAAGTAGCCTGTGCCTTCTTGCTGTCTCTGCCTCCATAATGTGTCACTACCCCACACAACAGACAACTTTTTTTTTTTGCACCCTTTCCCCAGCCCATTAGATAAGAATGTATTGTTCTGTTCCTGTGGGGATGCCCGACACTTAGAATGGTCCTGACTCATGGTCAGCGTTCAGCAAATTCCTCTTAGATGAATGAATGAACATTTGTGAGAAGCCTGGCTTCCTGGCCAAATGATGCTCAGCCTTGCCTATAAGGCCGGATAGCCATCCTCATCGCAGGCCCTCTCTGGACCCCACATCCCAGAGGCTCTCTACAGCATAGAGCACCGGGCCCTCTGTCCTGTGATGAACATCTCTGGGCGGATGCTCTACCTGGTGATCGCACAGTCCCCTAGCCACCCACTAGCCCGTCACACAACCCCAGCTGTACCTTCAGCAGCCACTGGGTGTTATTCTCTAGTATCTTCTCCAGCTGGCTCACACGCTGGGCCCGCTGGGCTCGCAAGTCTGCCAGGGGCAGCCTGGAGGCAGGCAAGTCCCTCTGGAGGCTGTTGGGGCCCCCCAAAGCCTCAGGTACCGCAGGCCCCAGCTGGCAGATATCGGGTTCCGGCAGCACAAAGGTGTAGCTGCACTGGCCGTGTTGGACCCGGTGAATCTGGCGGCGCCCACTGGGTGCTGGCCCTCTCTGCTGGGCTGCAGCCATGGTGGCCAGCAGGAGGAGGCCACCTAGCAGCATGGCTGGTTGGCAGAGCATCTGAGAACAAGAGGTGGCGAGGTGATCTCGTCAGAGGTACTGGGGTGGGTACCCACCCACAGTCAGCCCAGATGTGCTGAGCAGCTGGGGCCTGTGAAGACAGACTGTGGCTTCAGAGTCCTACCGTTGTAAGTCCTGAGGGCCAGCTCCTCTGGGCTATTTATACTCGGCGCAGCCACAGCTGCTGGCTTCCCCTGTGAGGCCTCGCCTCCTGCTCCCACCCCCCCACCCCTCAGGCACCTCTGTCCTCTCTGTCCCTTCCTGCCTCTTCCTTCTGCCTCCGAGGCTTTGATTGTGCTGTGGGGCCTGTCCTCCCTGGCCAGGCTTGAGGCCACCCTTACACACACACACACACACACACACACACACACACACACACACACACACACACACGCACGCACACACGCACGCACGCACGCACGCACACGCACACGCACACGCACACATGCACGCGCTGGACCACAGCTCATGCAAGGCTCCCTCCCAAATGGGAAGCCTCTGAACCTTCTTCCTCTCCTCTCCCCAGCTTTCTCTTCTCTCCACCCCCACCCCTGTCCCCCAAAGCCTGGTTCTCAAGTTTCGGCCCCTCCACCTTCTCCCTCTGGTTCCAAGTTAGGCTTGGAACACGGGTGGTGACCCCCAGAGCAGCCTGGGGAGGGAGGGAGCAAGGCGAGGCTAGAGAAGCAGCCTGGAGACAGAAAGCCTTCCAAGGCTGGAGGAGAGTCCTGTGGGTGCCCAGCACAATTGGCTCCTGGCCTCTCCTCTCCCTTGGGGCCTGGGGCGGGGGCATTCTGCCCTGTGGTGGCTCTGGCTTCGTGGTGGCGCCGGGAATCAGAAGTCTCCTGGGTAGGCTGTCCCAGGACTTCCTGTTCTGGGTGGTAAGTCTTGGGCTGGGGAGTATCCTGGCCAGTACCCCTAGAATCAGAGGTGGCTGGCCCTAAATCTCACACTCCTGCTGCAAACACGGAGCCGAGCCCAGCTCTTGTTGGAGGAATGCATGCTGGAAGTCCTGGCTCAGGGACTGGAGGAATTTTCAGTTTACTGTTCAAAATCTAGCTCTACCGGTTCCCAGCTGTGTGGCTGTCACCAAGTCATTTCAGCTCTGTGCCTTGGCTTCTTCTTGAGCAAGAAAAATGCCAGTACCGACTTCACAGAGCATGAACGTAATTGAGTCAGGCCATGCCGTTCAGGGACGCGCGAGGGAGGCCTGGTGTCACCATTTGCTTGTGTTTCTCCCTCCTCTGGATACAGCAAGGAAAGCCTGAGAGTGCAGGGCTTTGTCCCCGGGGCCGTGGTCACCGGGGGCCGTGGTCACTGGGGGCTGGTAGCCATGCTGAGTGGGCTGCCTTTGGGTTCTGCCCTTCAGGGTGCAGGCAGCCCATCTTCATGGTAGTGTTTCTTCTCTTTCGTATTTTGAACTCCTGATAAATGAATGAATGAATGAATGAATGAAGAGTGAATGAATGAATGAATAAGAGCTTACTGGAGCCTGAGCCCTGGGCCAGGTGTGAGGCTCTGGCACGAAGAACAGATTCAAGATGCCTGCCTGCCGGTCAGAGCTCAGCGGGCCACCTCTGCCTTGGTCTCCTTGACTGCAGATGGCTCCATGGAGGAGGAGGCCCATGAATTCACACCAGCCTCCTGTGTGCCCTGTACCTGACACACAGGAATGTAGACTAAAGGGCAGCTATGGTCATGACACACTTCTTGACCCCAACGAGCCCCGCAGGATTCCTCTCTATTTTACCACAGAGAAAACAAAACCTGGCCCAGAGCAATTGAGTTGTTTGCTCAAAGGCCTTGCACCGGATGGGGCCAGGGATAGAGAAGAGGGCAGGCTCAGCGGCCATTACCTTCCCCTCTATGCCCCATCCCCCTGGCAGTCCCACCATTCTCTGCTTCTTAGCCCTGGCAGTGGGCAAGACCCTCCGGCGCCCCAGCCTGTCTGAAGCCGACACAGGAAATAGTGTTTACACCCCCTGTGGGTTGTGGTGTGGACTCCAGGCAATGGTGGGGAGCCTTCTTCACAGGAGACACCTTTAATGATGGAGGGAACAAATGAATGGATGAAACGTGACTTCACTTCTGAACAGGGATTGTTGAATAGACACAGGGCTATGCTAACAGCTCTCAGCAGAAAGAGGAGACAGTCATACTTCACAGAAGAACATCGGCAAGACCAATAGAAGAGCTGGGTCTCCAGGGGACACGTTGGGATGGCTACCTATCAGTCGCACTACCTGTGACAATATCCTTTTTCTGAGGGCTTTGCATATAAGGACATGCCACATTCTCTGTCCGGAGCACTGTTGCCAACCAACTCTGCCTCTCCATTCATTCAGCACCCACAAGGGACCCCAGTGCTTGGTGGCTTTAAACACAGTAACAGCTATCACCTCTCAGGTCAGGAGTGTGGGTGTTCCTTGAGGCCTCCTGCTCCTGTCTTTCCCACGGCGTCATGACGGTTGGTCTGATTTTATTTGAGGACTTTCTCTCTCATGTGTTAGCCGCTGACCTTCCCTAGGTCTCTTCAGAGATGTCACCAGCATAGCAACTTCAGGTATTGAGGTTTCCCATGAGGCCACTGAAGGATACCGAGGCACACAGCTCCAGAGAGCCAGGTGAAGGCCAAACTACCTCTTGCCATTCGGCTTCAGAAATCATTTCAAGTGTTTCCACTAAGCTGGACGTAATACTGTATCACGTCTTAAAATTCTCAATGAAAGCACAAAGAGCGTGGTTTGTGTTCCGTGTGGGAGCCTGGGCTCTGTGGCTGGGCTTGCCCAGGAGCCATGCTCTCCCTCGATGTCTCTGCACTGGCCCCACATCCAGCCAGTTTTGCTTTGCCACTGGCTTTTGCACATACCTCTCTGTTCCAGTTCTGAGTACCCTGAGCCCACCGGCCTGTCTGGCCTGTATGTAATTCTCATGGTCTGTATGTCTGTTTGTGTCCTTGGCCAAGTTACATCGCCCCACTGACTGTTTCTTCTGTCCTATGGGGCTAACAACCACCATTACCCGATAACGATTAAAGTTAGAAAAGGGATCCCATAGTCAATGCACAGTGCATGCTAAATAAAGCACAGCCGTCACTCCTCTGTGTGGTCTGAGGATTGTCTGCTGCCAGGGTTCATAGGTTGGCACCTATTCAAGCCTATGTATCAGATGGAAAGGCCTTGGGGAGGGGGCTAGGGCAGGGCAGGGCTCCATGAACAGGATTAACACCCTTGGAAAAGAGGTCCAGAAGGGCACAGCAAGCCTAAGGTTTGGTCCTTGATGGTGGTGGTAGTGGTCGCTGAGGAGAGAGGTGTATTGATTTTGAGTGACATCTGGGGTTGCTGAAGTGCAGAATGTCCCCAAATGCCTTTCCAGCTAGCACCTTGCTTTGGGTTTCCTGAAAGAGCTCCAGAACTGAGAGTCAGAGATTTCTGCTCCTTCTCAGCCTGTGTGAACCAGAACACTGTCCTGTCACTGTCATGGAGGGCTGCCTGTCTCTTGCTGGGAAGGCATGCTAGCCTGTTTCCAAGGTGCCCATCAAGTGCTCTCTTCCACACGCATGGGCCCAACCTCTGTGCTCTGAGCCTCTGCTGGAAGTCTGGACTGGCTGCTCACAGACCCCTGTGGGGCTGTCTGTCACTTGACTGGGCTCTCTGTGTGTTCTCTGCCACCTGGAGCCTCAAGGCTCATATTCTGGTATAAAGCTGTACCTGAAAGTCACTCTAGGGCCACCCTGTAGTATCACTTTCCTTGGGAGGCCTGCCTTGTCTATCCCTTTAATTACTGCTCCAATGCCCCGGCCGAAATGTCCTTATCAAAGCACTCCCCTGCCTCACAAAGACCCAGGCTCAGCCCCCACCCCACCCCCGACCCCCGCCCCGCCCCTGGCTACAGCCTTTCTTCCTGTCTTAGTTCCTGATGCCTGCCCAAGGTTCACAGAAGCGTGCACAAAAATTTATTGAATGGATAATCCTCACCATTGGGCAGGAACTGGCTCAGTACAGTCCCAAAGAGGAACCTGGGTGTCATCTTTCTCCTTCAGGGCAGGGGTTATGGCAGGAAGCTTCCACCTGGTCATTCTAAGTGTCTTGCCTCCAAGTATAGAGAACTCACTAACTCCTAGGTATATTTTCACTTGGCCAGCATGGAGGCAGAGCGTGGAGAACTTTTGCTCAAATGTTTGTCAAAGAGAGAATTTGGTGAGCAATACAGCTGAGAAGCCAAGAGCTAACGTAAGTTATAGCTGATCTAGAAGCTTAGACAGTAGTGGAGACTGTTTCCTTCTCCAGGGTGATCTTCTTCTGTTGGCTTCACCCTCTGACGATGCCCACCACTACCACCACCGTCTTCTCTCAATTCAGCGGCCCTCAGAAACAGAAAGCCTCTTTCCGGACGGCTTTGGAAACATCCCAGCTCAGGGCACATAGCTATTCCTGGACCGCTTGCTGTAGCTGGAGGACTGAATGGGTCAGTCACTTTGCCCTGAATGCTGAAGACTGGAGTAGTGGAACAGGGCCTGGCCTCTTGAGACCCTGGTAGTCTTCCAGGAAACCCAAGGGGGCACAGAGTTCTTGTCCTACCTGCCCATCTCCACTGGAACTCAGCCATCCAAGTGAACCATTGTGCTTCCTTGGTGAGCCAGTGGGGTCCGGGGCCTTGCCTTGTATTTATCTCACAGGGAACTGACATCTAGGGCAGGAGAGGAAGTCTCATCACCCAGAGCCAAACACAGGGCCAGTGGTCCAAAACAGCTGGTTTTTCTGCTCTCCAGAACTCAGATGAGAAATGAACCATACCTGGTGAGTCACTTGCTAATTTGGTCTCCTTAAGTATTTGGAACAATAAGAAGACCAATGTCACCAGTCCAGATCCCCACTGACGGTCACCCTGCACCTTCCAGATGACATCCCCCAGATTCTTGCTTTTCATCCTCCGGGTAGTGAGTGAGGGCTGTCACCGATCTGGCCTCACAGTGCTACCCACCTCCCAGAGGTCATTACCTGGGCACCTCCCACAGCACTGGTAGGCATGGTAAAGTCCTGGCAGGAAGCTCTGGGCATGGTGACAACCCTGGAGGATGGTCTGTCAATGTCAGGGAGTCAGGGGCCAAGTTTCATGCAGCAGGCACCACGTTGTACTTAATAATCTTTCCCCCAAGACAACAATATGTTGCCTGAGTACTTCCAGACACACACACACACACACACACACACACACACACACACACACACACACACACACACACACCAGAAAGAGAGAAAAGAAAAAAGCATTTTCCTCTCTCGCTATGTGCAGCCTTACCTGTAGCTGTTGGCCAAGACAGTCCTCTTTGAGTGACTTGGGCTTCATATACATGGCAGCCCTTTGGTTTCCGAGGCAGAGAATCCCAGGGAGGGTGAGAGAGAAAGCAGCCAAGTCCCTCAGGGCCAAGCCTTCAGCATTGTAGCTAAGGTCAAGCAGAAGAGACCCACCCCTTAGTGAGGAACAGGATGTGAGGTACCAGGCCGTCTCTGGGTGGTATGTGGGCCACCCCAGGGTCGGGTGAGACAGCACCACTTAAGTGTTAGCACCAGAGAACTCCAGATGGCCTTCTGTCACCTGGGTTGGTGTTGGAAAGAGCCAGCGTCTCTGCACCAAATTGACACCAAAGAAGGTAGAATTCTTTCCACGTACGCTGCCGGAGGAAGTGGCCCAGAGACTGCATTGCTCGGTCCCAAGTTACCCAGTATATCAGCACCAACCCAGGCAGATGAGCAACTGCCAGACACAGCTGCTTCTGTGATCAGCTGAATGAGCTCTGTGGAAGGTCCTCTTGGCCTCTGTCTCCCTTCTGAACTCCCGAGCAATAGCATTACCTTGGTCCTGCCAAGCCAGAGACCCTGAGGACCACAGCGGAAGACGTTCGTCCTTTCAGCCCTGGATAGCCTGGGCCACGGCCATGCCTGTCCTTTCTCAGGCCAGGAGTTCAGCCCCAGCTTGCCTCTGGCTCTCCTCCAGGATGAGGGGACCAGGCCTGCCAGGTCGGGGCAGCAGTGGGGGGGTATAGATCTATTTTGGAACCTGGGACCCTGCAGAGGTCTGGAGGAGCCTGTGACCCAGAGAACCACTAGCCCCTTCTGGATTCTGTTTATTTTCATTTAACAAGCACAGTATGTCCCTGGTGGAAAGTGCTCCCCAGCTGGGGCAGAGTCCATGGGCAGCTCCACAGTCATTTCCCTCAGTCATTTCTCCATGCACATAGGTTTTCAGTGATGTTTTTCTAAACACACACACACACACACGCACACGCACACGCACACGCACACGCACACGCACACGCTCACGCAGAGGGCTAGTCTCTAAACAATTTTTAAATTTTATTTTACTTACTTCAGATTTATCTTTTGGAAAAACGTCATAACAAACCACCCCGCAGTGCACACACCCTTCACTTAGATCAGGAGTTTTTGTATTTGTCTTCAACTTTAAAAGGACTGAGACAGTGCAGGCTACGCAGGCATGCCTTTTGCACCTTTCCAGAGCCGCTCAGTCCCTGTAGATACGCACAATCGATATAGACACTTGTGTATGTTCGGAAGGCAGACAGGCAGTCTTCTGTGGGATGTGCTTTTTCTGCCCGCTGTTTCCAGCTCACTGTTTCCAGGTCGGTCTAGATTGCATATCCTGGCTTGGTCCCGAGCCTAGGGTCATTTTCCCTCCTGCTGGGAGGTGCTGCGTCCTGTAATTATACCCTCCCTGTGTTCCTTCAGCCCCGCAGATGGATGCTGGCTCCATTCAGGAACTTTTGCTTTTCCTAGTGAATTTGTGTCTGCTCCCCTCCAGAGCCTTTTGGCCCAGAGCAAGGGTTCAGTGTCTAAGGGACTGAGTGAAGGGTGTCTCTGCTAGGATGTGGCTGTACAGGCTACTTCCTCCCACCGGTTTGAGTCATGGCTCCACCTGCCTCTGGTACTGTCCGGTTTTACCTTTGAGACAATCTGGTGGTTGGCAAAGGACCTGTGCACTTTTCTAGCTCTCTCTTCCTACTCGATGACACACAAGGACCTACTTCCCTCAGCACGATCTTCTATAATTGTGTTCTTAGTGGCCTAGGCCTCCAAGCCTCCAGTGGGAGTTTTCTAAGTGCCCCTATTGTTGGACAGTGGGTTATTTCTGTGGTAGACTTCCTCGCAAGCTCAGGAGAGCATTCCTCTTCCATGCTCCCATGCCCTTGGCTCAACCTATGAAGAGGTAGGCTCTCTTCCGCAGCGTCTGACTTTGGCCCCCGTGACCTACTTTGGCCAGGGGGACACTTTCAAACAGAGGCATGCAGAGGCTTGGCTTGGCCTCGTGCCCTGGGGTTTGTTCTTCCGCTTCCTTGGAGCCCTGTGGCCACCTTGTGAGTGAGACTGAGCTAGCCTGCTAGAGGACAAGACATATGACCAAGTAAGTCTTCCTATCACCCCGCCTTAGGCTGACAGACTGGGTGGAATATCCGGAACTATGGAGCCCATGTGAATCACAGAGGGGGCACTGGTTCTTCAAGACACCCACTCTGGAGGCTTGTGAGGAAATAGCCAAAGCAGTTCTGGCCAGCCAGTCCACAGGCTGAGACTCGGTCTCTGTAAGTGGATGAACACAAGCATGCCACCAGCTGTCACTGGGATGGAGTGAGCGGTGCATGTGGGGGTCGTCACGCAGGGAGGACTCGATCCCCGCAGTTCCTGTCACTGTCAAGTCTCAGACACGACAAGTGACCTTTCTGCTTCTTCTTGACTGTTCTATTCGGAACTAGCTGTCTGACTAAGTATTCTGGAAGGTGCAGACATGGAAATGCAACCCTGGAGATTCCTCGGGCTGAAGAGCCTTCACCCTTCCTTCCCTGCCCGACCCCTTCACCTGGTGTCCTTGCAAGAGGACAGCAGACAGGGCTGCCCGCGAAGATGTCACCAGAGACGGAACAATGGGGCTGCATGCTCTAGGCAACCAGGACCGTGGCCACCACCAGAGGCTGGGAACAGTCAGGGAGGGACGGCCTGAGTCCCAGAGGGAGACCAGAGGCACCGTGATGACAGGCTTCTAGTGCCAAAGCTCTGGGGGACCTCATTTTTGTCACTTCAGGTAGCACTTCAGTGGCACTCAGGTAGCCTGGGAAAGGGATGCACTAAAATCCACTGACTAATATGGCTATGGAGGGAGGAGCCGCCCCTGGGTGGGGTCTGTGGGGCTTCCTGGGCACTGGCTCAGTACGTCTCGTCCATTCGCTCCTGTTTCTGTTTCATTTGCGGACTGTGCTACCACAGGTGCCCAGCGTCTCTCCAGGCAATGCCCACTCTGCACAGAGGAGAGAGGCAGACACCACCTGTGTGGTGGGTGGCCACGGGGAGATGCTTCTACAGCTGCCATCTGAACCTGAAGCCCCCCCCACCCCGCCCATGCCTGTGGGGATTGGTTGCCGTCTATCTGCCTGGAGCCTCCTCTTCCCGGTGGGATAGGAAACTGTAGCAAACCCATGGGCTTCAATATCCCAGTGCAAGACTCAAAGTGGATCATCCAGTTAAAAACCTCATAGATTATGCCCAGCACTCGGGAGGCAGAGGCAGGTGAATCTCCGTAAGACCAACCTGGTCTACAGAGCAAGTTCCAGGACAGCCAGGGCTACACAGAGAAACCCTGTCTTGAAAAACCAAAACCAAAACCAAAACAAAACAAAAACTATTGAGACCTTCTCTGGAAATGTGTCCTGGGCTCTGGCTGGGCAATGACACCTTTGGTCTTAGGTCCCTGCAAGCCCTATAATGTACCCTGCTTCCAAGCCCCTGCCCAGGGGACTGTACTGTGTACTCTGACCTCAATG